GAGGGCAGAAAAAAGTTAAATTATCATTGGCATGGTACTCTACATAGATGATCCCAAAATCCAACCAAAAGTCTCTACAATTAATAATCAAATTTGGTAGCATAAAAGAATACATTTGATGCTCAAAAATCAATAGCACTACTATATAGGAATAACACATTCACTGACAAAGGAATTTAAAAACAACAACTTTCATAATGGCATCATGAAAAATTAAAGACTTAGGAATCAATCCAACAAAAGAAGTGAAAGACCTTTACATTGAAAACTATAATAGTCAGAGAAGGAGATCAAAAAGAATATCAGAAAATAGAAAAATATCCTCTGTTCTTAGATAGGCAGAACTAATATAGGTAAAACAAACATAGCTTCAAAATTGTCATATAGATTTAATTCAATCCCAGCCAAAACACCAATACCCTATTTGTTATAAAAAAAGAAAGAAAGAAAGAAAAGAGGTGCATGCCTACAAGAGCTCAGCTCTTCCATCCAGGCAGCCTTCATTTTATTCCAAAACCTAGTCTCCACTAGGGGCAAAATAATGAAATATTGAAGAAATAATAGGGGTTTAAAGGAGTATTTCACATCCTATACTTCGGCCCACTGTTCTGGTCCTTATTCAGCCTATCTGGGCTGTAAAGTCACTCATAGCCTCTGCCCTTCCCCACATGGACGGCGTGGGGGTGTTCTTCCCTTTTCCCCTTCCCCAATTTCATGATAACCACCCTCTGTGGATTTTTTGGACTCATATTGTATATATCCTGATGTTATATGTAGGACTCATGCTTTCCTAACATGCTAAACATGCTCATAAAAATTTCATTAAACCCTTGATCAACTCTGGGCATTTTACAGAAAACATTGCTAATTTAATGCCATAAAAATGTTAACAAATGATGAAAAGTTCTTGAAAGGAATATTAATGAAATGCTCCAGGTTGAAATAAAAGCTTCCATTCTCTTTAGAGTTTTATTGCAGGTACCATATACTAGGCAGGTAAAAACTTTTTAAATGATTTGCTACATTATTTGAAAATATATCTTCTCTTTGTAATGTGTAACTTATGCTTGAAAATGAGACAACCCATCTGATCCCTAGGCATTTTATTTCTTCCCTTTGCATTTATTTAGGTTATCCTAGAGACCATTTCAGCCTCATTTAACAGAAGGTTCGATGGTGGCAGATGCTGAGGGAAGGCTGTCAGGGGTCTCAAGGATGTGACCGAAAAACCGAACAACTCAGTGTAGAAATCTTGCTAGGTTATGTTACTGCAGTTGATAGATTTTTCTTTCTAGAATGCTGCCGGGAATGTGGTATCAGACCACTTGATCCAATGTTTCTCTTATTTCCTTGGCAAATATCAAATTTGGGGAGTGAATTGGGTGGGGTTGGCTCAAGTCTGCCCCTAGCTTGCTCACCAGTGCTTGGAGGTCAGGGCATTGTTATACGGGCAAGAACTCCGAGGCCCCACTCTTGAGTTTTAGGGTCATTCCAGGAGAAAAGTCGGTGCACCCTTTGCGGGTTGCAGACTCAGCATGCAGAAGCAACAGAGCACTTTGTCTTTTCTCTGACACTTGTGGTCTGCATCTGGTTAAAGAAGAAAATGTCCTGTCCTCCCTGCCTGTCACTCCGCATGTCCACTTTCATAAGAAGACATGGGAAAAGCAGCCTATCATCTTCCAAGCCAACAGAGGGAGTCTGTCCACAAGGAACAGAGCAATGTCCTATCCTCTCCCATGTCACGTGCTGTCCTCCTGAGGGTGGCTCACCAACCGCAGATGTCACGGTCGTATTAGTCTTAGGCTTGTTCAGAAAGCTCATACCCATCCTAGCCTCCAAGTCTTCAGTGTCCCTTTTCCTTTGGATGGTGATTCTCAGACTGTAGTTCAGTGATTCTCAAACTGTATGCTCATGATGACTTCCTGTAAGATAGGCTCACCCAGACCTGTTTATCTTCTTTAAGTCAGGATTCCATTATTCTCACTTGTTTAGACATTGACAAATTTGCTCAACAGATGCATATAAAATACCTCTTGCATGCCAGGTGAATGATATAAAGCAAGGTATATGGTCATCTGTGGTGACCAGGTGTAATATGGTCAATTCACACCAGTTTCCAATCTGAAAGTCTGCTTTCTTGCACACCCTATTCTCCTTGAAAGACATTAGGCCCCCATATCACTGTTACCAGAGCCTCACCTCCCCTTGTCCTAGTCTGGGTGCAAGTTATTGTGAGTAGTTTCTAACTTCTGTCTTTCCCGCCAAACAAAGTCTCACCCATGTAAGGTCCTTATCTATCTTATCTACTACTTTCCTGAACCCAGAACCTCATGTGCCAAAACGTAGGTTCACTACAAATAGTCACTAAACACTGTCTTGTTCTCTGTAGATCAGACCTGATGTGAATTATAAACGTAGCAATATCAACAATATTGACTGAATGCCTACAAGTCTGCCTTTCATGCCGGAAAGGTACTGGGAAAGACAGGTTATTTCTGATTTCTCTGTCACTGATTTACTGACCTTGACTTGTGTAACAGAATCAGCTAATTCTGCACTATTGACCTCAAAACACAAGGGAACAAACAGTCCACCCTTTCCCTTCCACCAATGGCATCAACACCCCAAAGAACTCAAGAGTTTCAGTAAGTGGAATCGCTGCAAATTCACTTCCTGTCTTTGAAATAGGATCGTCTACTTTCTAATATGCAATGTGGAGAGTTAATCTAGGTGAATGTAACTTCATAGAGGAAATCAAACAGAAATTAGCATTAAAGAAACCCATTATCACTTTATTGGATGCGTCTGACACAGACAGGAGGAGGCATCAAATACAAGCAGTCCTCTGTATGGGTAGTGAATGACAGTACCAATCTAGACACTGTGGTTTCAAGATGCTGAGTTGTCTCAAAGCAGCAACAACAATGAACAAACAGAAGGTGCAAGTGGCATTTGTATAATGTGTACATTCTGTTAAGCATTATGTTGATTATCCAATAGCGTGGATTATTAGGTTAGACAGATGTGGGTCCAGTCCTGACCACAAACTCTGTCTCTGTGATTGTAGGTAGTTTAGTTAACCTCTGTGTCTCAGGTAGAACTTAGTGGTTTCGAGAACTGAATAAGATAAATTATCACAGGTTGGCATGTGAGGCAGGTATCTGTGCAAGCCAGGTCTCTCCTTCGTTCCACAGTCAGTCACCAAATGCCTACTACATCTTCCTCATTTACTAATGTATTCCTGGTGTCTAGCATGCTACTGTCTTCTAATCGCAGGGTGGATAAGTAAGTACCAGCTCTGTGGACTATGAGTCCTAGTTCTCATCCACCTTCCTCCTAACCATGCTGGTCAGAGCCGAAGAAAGTGGCAGTGTCAAGGGGCTTTCACTGTACTGTTGAACCATATGCAAGAAGAAAGTAAAAACAAGACTTGCAGAAATTAATGGTTACCAACTGTTATTTGTTGATAAAATGTCACTGACCGGAAATGTGGTAATCCCGCATCACCTCAAGAAAAAGAAATAGTTTTAGTGTCCTTAACAGAAAGAGTTCTCTTTAAATTAGAAGGAATCTGTACATCACTAAAGTAAAATCCTGCCCAGATTATTAATTTTTTCTCATTTATATTTCAAAGGAAAATAGTCTTCTATTTTACTTTAATTAATAAACATCTGCATATTTGGCTTCTCAGACTGGGTATTCCTCTAGGAAAAATTAAAACTAAAAATCTGAAGTACACTATTTCCTCAGTTATAACAAATAGGGAACATTTAAACTCAATATTCTGTTTCTGTAAATCTCAAGTAAGAGAATTTGGGTTGTTATCTATACTGTCAAGAGAAAAAAGAAATTAACTATTTCATACTATCATCAAATTTTTTTTCAAATCAATGTTTAAAACACTCTTGGTATCCAATGCAGATAACATCTTATCTTTCCAAGAAAAACATTTTTTAAATTCAGTGAAAATCTTTTACTGTCCATACCAGAAAAGAAAAATATATTTAAGCAACATATTTACATATCAACTTTGGATTTCCTTTTGATTCACATAGATTTTAATCCTACAAGATTTCAACAAATGAATAAACAGATTTAAAAGAATCTCTGAAGCCTTAGGAGAAATGACAAAATGAGACACATTTCTTGTGCAAACATACCAGCCAAACACATGCATGAAAACCTCACTGTTAAGCAGTTTCTGCCATTGTTAAGATGACATTTTTAATAAACAATATAATATAAAATATAAACAATGTAAATATAAAATATAAAACAATGCACAGTCTGATAATAAAAATGAAACATTAACTTTGTATCATAGCACTGTGAAGATAATTGTGATCAGGCAATCCACAGTCGTTTAGTGATTTTAATAATGTTTAGAAGTTTTGTAAATTTAGTTTATATTAATAAAGGACAATGTATGAAAGCCAGTTAGGGTAAAAGAGAGAATAGAATATAGAGAGAGAAGTCTACACATTTTCTTTCTGATGTTTATCTCCCATAGTGTAATGATTAATGTCTGAAAAGACATAAACATAATGGTATACTATTATTCATGGTTTTAATAACATTGTAAAAAAACTGAATTACAGGACTTCCTGGAAACACAAGTGTGAATGGTACATCTTCAGTGAGTTCATAATTTAATAAGTGTCTGCTGAGTAGATCAAGATTTTTGTGCTTAGGTTAATTTTTTTTTTCTCCTCAAACATTCTTTGTGAACTTGTGTATCATCCACGCTAACTTACAAGAAATGTGACACACCACTCTTATAGTAAGGTCCCAATTTCCCATCATTTTGTCTGATTAAATGAATTGAAAAATTTTGGTGTTTCTAAATCAGGCCAATAGTGAAGAATAGTTGAATGACAAGTAAACAAGACCTGCTGGGAAGATATTGCTCAAGTGATAAAATGGCTCAGCCAACAGGTGAACCAAAAGATTAAATATTAACCAAGGGAAGGTAACCATTTGTGAGGTCCCGCCTCCCAGAGGACACAAGCATATATAGAGTGCAAAGTCTTTCAAGTCTAAAAGCAAAGGATGATTTCTTGGAACCTCCAGAAATTTAAAACCATGAGATATCTGTTACTGCTACTGTTGTGTGTTTTCTCAGTTAAGTCCCAAGGAGGTGATGACTACGATGATGAGGTGATTTTGAAAGTATTATTTTATCACTAACATTGTTAATATTAAATACAGTGGAATCATAATCTTATGAGAACAGTTATTTAAATGAAGTTAGAATTGAATGTAATTGTAAAGCTGAACTGCTAATCTCCAGAACCTAGTTTACTTAAAGAATACTACATGGTATTTCTTACATGAAAGCAGACTAATTTCTTGTTTTCTGGTTTATTATCTATATTTTCCCAGGTTGAAGATGATTTAACTGGTGCAATAGTTTCTTTTTTGTTTTTGTTGTTAGTTTTTATCCTGAATACTATAGTTTTTACTTAGCTATAGCAATACTTTATTAAAATTATAAAAATAAAATGAAAAATATAAAAAACTACAATATAGTGAATAATATTTTAAAAGAAATAAGTTATAGTGGACAGGTTGTTGATGAAAGAGTCTATTATATAGCTTGAGATTATTCACTATTAATAAGAATTACAATCTAAATTTAATAGCAGACTACATCAAGTATAATAATTGAAAGTGAAATATTGTTTTTAGATGCAAAAATTAAGTAGAAATGGTACTTATTGTTATTAATACTTATAAAACATCTAAGTCTAATTATTTTAATCTGAGAACTAATTTTTCTCAAGTGTTATCTCTACCTAGTTATTGCTATTGGTTTGACCTTAACAAAAATATATAAATGCATTTAGGAAAATGAATATTTAAATATTTTAAATTTTATTATCAAATGTATCATGACCCAGTTTCTTATATATAACATAGTATTATCATTCTAAGGTAAAAATTCAGAGTAATGTTTAAATGATCAATTTGGGGAATTTGCTGAATTTGAAGAGAGAACTAGTTCTACTTATCAGATTGTAAACAGAAAAAGATAATTATCTGATTAATCAGTTTAGGTAGAAAAATGTAAAAAATATGTGAGAGTAAATTTTTGTAAAGTACTTTGCACAGTACTTTCACATCCTTACTCGCCAATCCTAGAAACAGTTTAATAGTTGAGATTCCAAAATGGATTTTCTAGTTTTACTTGTGTCAATAAATTATCTTCACAGACATAAGTAGAGGACTCCTTTAAGTAGTTTGCATTTTCTTTTCTCTGGTAAACCCAGACTAATCTCTAATACTACTCTAAAACAAAAAAGAAAATTTTTCTTCTTTATAATTTTATTTGACATGTACAAGGGAATAATATTTACCTCAATCTGAGTATCTCTGGGTCAGGCTATGCCTTGTATTCAGAAAGCATGTGCTTCTTCCAAATCTTCATGCATGAAGGATGTGTGTGTGTGTGTGTGTGTGTGTGTGTGTGTGTGTGTGTGAGTGTGTGTGTATGCTCAGCTGTTAGGCAAGGGAGTCTAGAGCCAGTTCCTTTAGGTGTCAGTCCCAGCAGTTCCCCAATAAATTTTAATAAATAGAGTAATTTAATGAATAAATGAAAATAAAATTCTAAATATGGTTCATTAGATGACTTTTAGACTTATTGTAAGAAAACTCAACTATTGCCTGTTTCATTTATTAATTTGTAATGTAAGCCCAATGATAAAACTTTTAAAAAAGAATATGTGATAACATATTAAATCCAAATCAAACTTTTTACACTGCAATGCATATTTTCCACTTCATGACCTGTTAATGTAATATCTTTAAGTTAGCAAATACTTTTAATTACATCATAAAACATTGAAACTTATTTTATATGTGACAAACTTATGGCATTTGACAAAGGGATCATGTAGGAAATTTCAAGAGAATGACTTAACCAATAATTTCATTGCTTGAATATACAAAAAGTGAAATTAACAGAAATTGGTCAAAAAGAAAGGGGAACTATGGAAAGGGGAGTGGGAAAGAAAGAAGGGAAAAGAAAAAATGAGAAAAGAAGAATAAAATGGAAACAAAACTTTATAAATAATCAGGGGAAGAGAGGTTGAAGGCAGGGAAGGGGAATGGGAGGGGAAAAAGAAATCAGGGCATATTATGCACAGGCACAAATTTCCTATGATAAAAACGGCCATTGTATATACCTAAGTTGTACCAATTAAATTATTAAACAATTAAATCTTTACTTAGTGAATTAACAATGGAGAAGACCCTAAAGCAATCATATTGGTTATGTATGATTCCAATAAAATAATGACCAGTTTCAGTGTGTCAGACGCTGGTATAAGGCGTCATTGGAAGTCAAGCAGTCCCTACAGTAGGTTTAGAAGGCAGATACAAGCTGTGACCTTCTTATTCCAAAAGGAAACCAGACACAGACAGAGTAACTTATCCAGGGCCTCATAGCCGGTAAGCGTAGTCCAGTATTTTGATTCCAGAGTATCATATTCTTCTTGAACATGTTACATTCAAAGATTGTCTTGTTTTAAATAAGTGTTTGTTTTATGACAATTATTATCTCTTAAATATGACTATATAGGAGTTAGTTGGATCATCATTTCATGGAAGTTTTTAGAGAAATGATGAATAACAATTGTAAGAATTTAGTAATCCAAGAGGCTGGAGGAGACTCTCTCTTCTTGTCAGCAGTGATTCCTGACAATTTTGCATGTGTCATTGGTTGGATTTCAAGAACTTGAGGTCATGTCTTCTCAAAATCTGATTGGCTTTGGATTAGGACCTCATCAAACTTCCCTAGGTGCAATATTTTTATGTGATTTGGTCTCTCATCTGTTACTGAAGACATATAAACAGCTTGTGAGGTGCCAGTGACAACCCAGCCAGGGGATGGACCTTGAGCACACTGTCTCACTACCTCACTATCAAATGAGGGGATTGAAGAAACTGCACCTCAGTTCTCCTATAACACTGCAGTTGGCTTCTGTCTGGTTCCCTGCAGGTGCTCCCGGGTGCCCGTGGTCATCGACCCCTTGACAAGAAGAAGGAAGAGGCTCCTAGCCTGAGACCTGTCCCACCTCCCATCAGCGGAGGTGGCTACCGGGCCCGTCCAGCCAAAGCACACGCGAGCCAAACTAAAGTGGAGAGAAAAGCACCCGATGCTGGAGGCTGTCTGCATGCTGACCCAGACCTGGTAGGTGGACTTGAGGTCTCTGGGCAGAGAAAGTCCGATGTTCCACCAATTTGCATCCTCATCTTTTTTGCTTAATTGGGAAATAAAATTACCATAAAACAACTCATTAGGCCTTTGATTTTGGCTTCTTTTCTTGTGTTGTTTGGTCTGGGCCCCAGAAAATAAATTACGATGTGTGACATTGCCTTTATTTTGTATTTTACCTACTTCCCTTGTTCAGGTGGCTAAAAATTTTCATAGCCCGATTATATTTCATGGTAAGGCCCATTCTTAATAGCTATCAGGCACAAGGATAACGATGAAGCTTCTTGTCTTCCATAAGGAAAACCAAGCAATGAGCCTCTGTGTTGACTAATGGGAATACTGACAGGAAATTGTGCCATTTTAACAAATACCCAAGCCCCAGGCCCTCCTCTAATGCATGCTGTCTCGTTGTTTGCAGGGAGTCTTGTGTCCTACAGGGTGCCAGTTACAAGCGACTTTGCTGAGTCAGGAAAAACCAATCAAAAACAGTATCGCTGAGTTAAACAACAACGTGGAGGATGTGTCCCAGACCTCCTTCACCAACTATCAGTACGTGACTCTGCTAAAAGACATGTGGAAGAAGAGGCAGGAGCAAATGAAAAGTAAATGCCTTTGTGTTTTCCATTTGATTCTCAGTAATAACATCGAATATTTGCCATGAGAACGCATGGTTATGAAACAACTGTGTCTAGAGTAATCTCATACCACTGGTGCTGCTTTCTGTAAGCTCCCAGTTGTCCTTGAGGGCCTTACCTTGGCACCTTCACCTGCAACTGGCCAGATCAACATGATTCAAGTATTATCCTCTGTGTGGCACCAGCAAGGATTATTTCCTATGAAAAATTTCACTGAGGTTCCTTAGTGTTAGCCTCTAAAAAATCTGTGTTGTGACCCAGAAGATAATTTCCACCAAGGACAAATTTAGCATGTATAGGTTTTGAGTATATGAGAGTAATCTGTAATATACTGACTTGGGAGTGATTGTAACCTGTGAATGTTGAGTTCCCAATGCTGGGTGCCATTGATTTGGTGATTAGGAATCAGTTCGTGTGGGAGGCTCCACAGTGAGTAACTTTCACAGGTTTCTACATTTTCCAGAGGAATCATGGACTCTCCCATGTAAATTTCAAAGTTCTGTATAAATCAGTGGGGGCAAACCTATAGCACACGTGCTACAGCAGGCTGTCTGTTATCACTGAAAGCTCCAAAGGTTTCGCCTTCACTGTGTAACTCAAATACATCCACTCCACATTGCATTGAGCATGAGATGGAAATCTCATATACTCTTTTTCTCTGCACCAAAGAAACAAGCAATCAATTTATTATCAGATGTTGTATTTAGAGTAAATTACTGGTGTGGTCACTGGGCTGTTTTGCTTTCTACATGCATGGACTAAAGGATTTCTAAATGCTATATATATCAGTATTGCTTGATACACAGTTGTGTCAAGCTCAATGTCTATTCATATACTATCAGAAAATAAAAATCATTATTATGTAGTCAAACATATTCAGTTTTTGTGAGGCCAGAAATACTGACCACTCTTGCATAATTTCATTTCTCCAGATAATGCAAATGCCGTCAATCAATATACCTCAGAACTAGAAAACCACCGACTATACATAGAGGAGACTGTGAACACTAACATACCAACTAACCTTCGCGTGCTCCGCTCAATCCTGGAAAACCTGAGAAGCAAAATACAGAAGCTGGAATCTGACGTTGCGGCTCAGACGGAGTACTGCCGCACGCCATGCACTGTCAGCTGCAACATTCCTGTGGTGTCCGGGAAAGGTAACAAGCCAAGGATCCTTACTTCTGTAGGGTGCCAGAGGAGCACACACTCCTGAAAAATAAGGCTGGAAAGTAAATGCTGTGGTTTTCCCCCAAAGAGCACAATGTCACAGCACATCATGAAGATATGTTTAGGATGCTGTGTTCTGCCTTGGCCTGAGAACTTTTCCAGTTGCTACTGAGCAGGCTAGGCTGTAGTGTTGCTGGTAGCTTCCAGGGTGGAGGCTGGTGTGCGTACACATGTGCAAGTCTGAACAGATGGCAGGGTCATGGAAAAAGGTGGAATTTACTCATCCTCTTGGTTCTGTTTGTGAATGTGCCAGTGCACTAAAAAATGTAAAAGGTATATTTTTTTCATTTTTTTGAGCAGATAGAATCCCTCAAAACTCAGCTCAATTTTCAGTAAAAGGAAACTTCAATTTGTGTAATATTCTGAAATAGCTATAGCAAAGCAGTCCTCCATAATATATGTGAACAGTTACAAGAGCAGGAGACTAATGATGAAGTGATTATATCATTGAGCACAGAGCATAACATGCTGTTTTGTGCTTGCAGAATGTGAGGAAATTATTAGGAAGGGAGGCGAAACGTCGGAAATGTACCTCATCCAGCCCAACAGTGACGTCAAACCATATAGAGTGTACTGTGACATGACCACGGAGAATGGAGGTGAGATGTGGATGGTGGTTCACTGTCATCAATTTGAATGCCAGGAAAGATGACCTTGCTTTCATACAGCTGGAAATGAACTAGTTGTTCTTAAATTTTAAGCTTAAAAAACCTATGACTCATGATTTTCAGTAAGATAAAACATTTATGAAAGATGTTTAAGAGCTACTTTCCATTCCATTTCATTTTTATATCTGTATCAGAGGGAGCTAAGTAAGTGGAAATAAGACAACTGAATGGCCTAGGGATTCAGATACTCCCTGCAAGTGTACCATTTGTTACTAGTTAAATTCTGTTACTTTTTTTTCCATCAACTAAAGGCTGGACAATAATTCAAAACCGCCAAGATGGCAGCGTTGACTTTGGCAGGAAATGGCACCCCTACAAACAAGGATTTGGAAACATCGCAACCAGTGCAGAAGGGAAAAAATATTGTGGCCTACCAGGTAAAAACTGAAAGTCTTAGTAAAATTGCTCTGTTTAAATGAGATTTCTTTCTATAAAAAAAAGAAAAGCATCAAGTATCAGGAGTCTGTTTTTAAGTAGTTAAGTGTATTTCAAATATAAAAGTGTAGAAGCAAAAGATAAGGAGAGAAAAGCATGTTTTGGTTTGCAAAGCTTTTGCTTTTGGTGAGATGTTATTTTATTTTTCCTCTAGGTGAGTATTGGCTTGGAAATGATAAGATCAGCCAGATTACCAGGATGGGACCCACGGAGCTTTTAATTGAAATGGAAGACTGGAAAGGAGATAAAGTAAAGGCGCACTACGGAGGATTCACAGTGCAGAACGAGGCAAACAAGTACCAACTGTCAGTGAGCAAATACCGAGGAACGGCCGGCAATGCTCTGATGGATGGAGCTTCCCAGCTGGTGGGAGAAAACAGAACCATGACCATTCACAACGGCATGTTCTTCAGCACGTACGACAGAGACAATGATGGCTGGTACGTGTTGTACTGCCCCTGTTTTAAAAGCCTCCTCTAGTGTGATTCCTTAGCATCACTCATAATAGCTAACGTTACTAACAGATGTCATTATTTGGTCACTGACCATCAGCAACTGTACTAAGCTCCTTATGTGCAGGTCTAAAGCATTTCGGCTACATGGAAGGTGGACATTACTGCTCTCATCTTACAGGGGAATTTCAGAGAAATTAGTATCCTATGCACAGTGAACCCCCTCACCTCAAAAATGTGGAGTTAGAAGGAGGACGAATGAGTGGGGTGATGGAGGAATAATTCAAGTATGTGACACCAATGTACAAATCCACCAAAATGAAATTCATTAAATGTGGGGGGAAAGAGACTGTGTAATTTATCCAAATCACACAACTACAAAGAGCTACAACTAGAATTATAGCACCATCATTTTCTGAATTATATTTAGAAGAATACCTATAGACCTATATGCTAATGTGCATATGAAAACCCTTATTTTGTTTTGCAAGGTTCTGTAATACTAAAGCAAATTCCTCCTCCCCCTTATTTGCCAGTGGGCAGAGGAGGCCTTTGGTGTAGTATCAGAGCTTCACACACAGAACCTAAGGGAAAGAGAACCACACGCAACTGAATGTGACATTCTTCTGTGGGTCCTGTAAAAAGATCTAGTGTGAAAATTGTAGTTCTGTTTCTAATAACTCCAAACACATTTTCTTTCAGGATAAGCACAGATCCAAGGAAACAGTGCTCCAAAGAGGATGGTGGTGGATGGTGGTATAACCGATGCCACGCAGCCAATCCCAATGGCAGATACTATTGGGGTGGACAGTACACCTGGGACATGGCCAAGCATGGCACAGACGATGGTGTGGTGTGGATGAACTGGAAGGGATCCTGGTATTCCATGAAAAAGATGTCCATGAAGATCAGGCCCTTCTTCCCACAGCAATAGGCTCCAGGTGTAGATTTTTATTCTTCTTAGGTGGCAGCATTTTTTACACTATGTTAAGAGAATTGTCTTTCATATGTTGTATCCCTAGTGTGACTTTCTGGAAAAAGGGGGTAGGATTAAAAATTAAACATTAAAAATGGCACACCATCTGCTTTTGTGTTCTTCATTTGTCTTGCTTCCCAAGAAGTCACTGGAAGGTTAGCTGGGGGCAGAGTGATTCCAGTTGTTTGTGAGAAATTTCACATTAGGAAGAGGAACCATCTGTCCTTGCAGAAGAACAGGAAGCAAACTTAAATCTTATGCAGAAAGATATACTTTAAAATCATACTTATTTATGTAAGATCTCTCATAGAAAACTTTCAAGCACATGTATTAATTAAAGCACCCTCTGTCTCAATGAGTTAATGTTTTCTTGCTTTGTGCTGCATTCAGTCAGTGAGACAGGCTTTGATCTTGAAGAAAGTATTTGCAACCTTAAGCATCTAGGAAACCAAAATGGAACATTTATAGCTAAAATCTCTCTCTATACCAAGGGAAGAAAAGTATCACTGCGTGCTCCACCACTGCACAAAGTATTAGGTAGATCCTGTCTGCTTGAGGAGCAGGATCAGAACTTCCAAAAGGGCATCAGGATCTTCATCACTACGTTGTAAGAGAAATAGTGAAAAGAGGAGGCAACATCTGCGAGTTATCCATAGAAACAGAGTTCTTCTTTTTTGCATAGTCACACTAGAACTAAATTAGGAGTGATTCTCTGTTCTTCCTGTGTCCTCCAATGTCCTAGGCAGCTGTCATGCCCTCCGCCCTCATGGAACTAAACGTCCTAAAGCCCATCCTTATAATCTCTGCAACTAAACAAAGGTGTTTAGTTTTTCTCGTGGGACTGCTACTCTCTTAATTCCACATCAACTCTAACTTCAGCTTTTACCTGGTTTCCTTACCATGAGTTCTGTCCCCTCCATCTGTCATTTCACAATCTGTCATCTCATATACTGTCTGAGAAAGCAGAAAACTCATGCCAAGTCACTTTCCTCTCTAGTGCTAGTGCTTTGCTATCTCTATCCAAATTCCTTAAATCCAAATGCATCAGTTGGGAGTAAAATGGTTTATTCTTTGTCCCCTACGCTTTTCATCTACCTTAGCACAGTGGGTTTCCTCCATTCCAGGACAGATCAACTCCTTTTAGTTTTCCAGCGGTTTTGTAGAGGAAGATTGGTATAGAAAACAAAACAAAAATGCAATTTGTTGTATAGCACTGCCAAAAAACAAATAAACAAACAAACAAACCCATCATCCATATGTAACACAATTTGATGGGTTTGAGCTGCTATGATCATGATGACAGTGTTGAACACATCCATTATCTCCCAGAGCTTTCCAGTGTCCCCTTTGTTTTGTTTGGTTATATTGTGGCAAGAACATTGGACATGAGATAAATTTTTAATGATTATCCATGGGCATTATATTGCATAGTCTCTAGAATGTACCTATAACTATAACTTTGTAAGTTTATACTCAACAAAAATTCCCTTTTCCTTACCCCTACCTTTTGGCAACCACTGTTCTATTTTTTTGTTCAATTAATTTGACAATTTAGAATCCATGGAGTATCCTTGCACATTGCTGGTAAGAATGTAAAACAGTGAAGCCATAATGGCAAGTGATATATAAATTCCTCAAAAAAATTAAATGGAATTACTATAAGATCCAACAATGCTATATCTGGGTCTAGACCCCCAAAAGACTGAAATTAGGTCCTTGAAAATACATATTCTCTCCTGTTAGTTGCCACATTATTCACAATGGTCGGGCCCCTTGATGCAGTGTTCTCATTTTCAGCAGCATATTCTCCCAAAATAGATGAGTAGCTACTCATTTTCAAAGCTCCCTTCACCCTCAGCACCCATAGGATACTTTTTGAAACACTTGGGAAATTCGTGTTAGCGTTCAGCAAATAAGAGCAGTCATCCATCTGTTGCTAGGAGACACTTCCTTCACTGATGAGTTCTCGTTCTGCTTTCATTTCAGAACCATTAGCCTGCCAGAAAGGCTGATTTTCACAATGCATAAATACTAATAGCTAAACCCATTATCAAATTTAGAGTATCAAAAAGATTACCAAAATCTTGGTGTCCATGTTTTTACTTAGAACTCACTAAGACCAGAAATTTTCCTCCGGCTGAAGGGGGCTGGGGAAAGTGTCATTGCTAGACCTTTGCTCAACCCTTTCTGCACACTCAGAGGACCTAATGAATCCCTAGAGCTTGAAGTAATGCTGATAAAAACTGCTAAAGTCACTAATCTTATGCTAGGTTGTTAGTTAACATCCAAATAGCAAAAACAGATTCCACCTGGGTAATATATAATATGAAAGTAAATTCTCTAAAAATACCGTTTGATAAGAAACGCTACATACCTGACTGCACGATTTTTAATACAATAAGGTTGATCCAGTTAGAATATAGAAAATAACCTCTGTAAAAATTATTCAACCAAGTCTTCATGAAGATAATATAAAAATTGGTTGAAAGCTAATTAACTGGCTAAATCCATCACACAACATGAGAATGTAATTTTTTATGCAATTAAGACTGAAAGTTGCAGCAAACTAAAGACTTTTGTACTTGGGGCATAAACTTTTAGCTCCTCTGTGTTTAGGAACCAGGAGAAACATCTAATCAGGGCAAGCAAGGGATTTTGCTTTGAACTGATCATGGAGTTCCCACATGGGACAAAACTCTGGGTAATACAATGCCTGGCTTCAGTGGGTCAGACAATCTTTCCATTTAATCATTACACACTTAGCATCTGATCATCCCAATCTGCCAATGTCTTTTCAAATATAAATTCCCCAGTACTAATCTAGGTTTATGACCTAAGAGCCTCTTTCACATGGAAATAGCCCAACAATTTCTGCTTGTCAATATCCCAAGAGGTTCTGGTCCCTGTTTGGTTTTGGGAATTGGTGAGGAGGCTACACCTGTATTTTTCTGAGACCTCTATTGTTTTCCTTACTAAGAATTTTTTTTTACTCAAATGGTAACCATGACATACTTTAAGCAGTTCCTTGAAGTTGCCTTTACTGTGTTCATAGGCAACCACTGCCTGTGGTTAAACTGGACTTGGTGGGACCTGTCTCTGAAGGTAGAAACCACTCTCTCTGCTCTGCTGCATCTCACTGTTGAGTGAATTCTTTTAAAGTACAACCATCATTCCTGCACACAGCTGAATCTGACAGCCACTACCTTTTATCTACCTCTCTTAACCAAGACGTGGTAAGAAGGTAACACTTTTTATTGACTGAATTATATTTATTTCTCCTCTTAGCATTTTACTTTGAAAGTTTTCACCGCTAAGACACATTTCAAGAGTATTTTAATGAATATCTTTCTGTCCTTCACCCTGCATAGCTAATTGTTTGCTGGACTTTTTCTTATCTTTCCAAAGGAGACATTTCAACAAAGTTTTGCAACAGTTTAGGTGGGCAGACAACCCAAAGGTCACAGCCCCTTTGGGGATCACAGAGGCAAAGGTGAGCTTCGTAAATATTTTCCAGAGTGCTCTGTGGCAATTCATGTGGTTTCAGCAATGAGCTAATGAGCTGCTTAGGAACTGAACCTTTCACAGCCCACCCTGGGAGAATGCGTGGATTCCTGGCATCTGTGCTTTGAAACTGGTGCTTTAACCATCTGGAAAACACAGTGTCCAGCTGTTGTTCAAGAATTAATTGGAATTTCTTCTCCCCTGATGCTACTCCTTTCCAGAACATACAAGGCCTTTTCTGCCCTTGTCTTCAAGCAATGATGGATTTTTCTCCATAAATAAGATTTATAAAGTACTTGGAAGTCAATTACAAACAAGGGAGTAAAGAATACATAAATCTGTACATTGATAATGAGATGTCTCAGAAGTGGTTTCTCTGAACAATTTTTTATCTACAAGAAGCTTGCATTATTTTCATGGCTACCAACATCTAAATGCTGCTACTTGGCTCCAATATAAAAAGGATTTAATTTACGACTCTGCATCCTCCGTCTATATTGTGTGTTATACTGTTACAGCTTTCATAAACCTAATCTGAGCCTCTAGCCACATCCCTAATATTAGCTAACTTGGAAATATATTTTGCTCTCTTATGGAATGTAAAATATAACTAAAACAATAACAGATTTGGAAAAATAAAAGTAAATACTATATACAATATAGTCTCATACTTATCTATGAAATTCAGTATCATTATCTTAGAATGATAAAAACGTGGAATAAGTTGGTAAGAAACTATAAGAATATATAAACAATATTGTGAGCTTCCCTCCCAGATATGCCCTTTATTATTTACCCTAAATTACTATTTTCTAACTGGAAAAATCAGTTCATAACATGTTCTTGACTTTTTAAAAGAACTCTAGTAATCATTGCTTATTAATTGCAAGTATTATCAGATTTTGTGGAAATTTATTTCCCCAAACTTCTTATTCTAAAAGGTTTAAGAAGCTGAAAGTACATATGTAAAGAATGAGTGAATTAAAATATAAATAACCTTTTAATAAAAGTTGAATATGACATCTTAATTAACTTAGTAACATCTCCAGTTACAGAGAGGATTTATGTATTGGGTAGGAAGTTGAACTAGACCTTAAAGATTCCTTCTAAAACCTAGGTGCTTGAAGTCCTAAAAATGTATTGGACCATAATTTTGTGTCAAGCCTTGTGTTTAGTGCTAGATATATTTTCTGCACTTAGTAATAGAGTAAGTAACTGAGAGATCTTCTCATGTTACGATGGTAGAGGAGAACAAGGGAGTCTTCAGGCTACAAGAAGAGTGGTCACATTTAACTTGAAATACGACTAAATATTTCCTATGTTTTTGACTCGAGATCAGCATTCCTAGTTCAGTGCTTTCTTCTTTAGTGCCAATATTTAAAATCATGTACTGTCTCAGCAAATTTTTCAGGTTCATATAGATTTTGTTCATTCATTCATGCATTCAACTCAGGGCTAATTTGAAATGGATAACCTATGCAGAATTTGATCATTAACTATGGAAGAGAGGTCATCATGGGGGCTGGGGATTTGCATTAGCTGGGGATCAGTGGCATAAGCGCCTGCCTTGCAAGCAGGCAGTCATGAGTTTGATCCCTGGTACC